AGTCTAAAACAAGGCGTACCCCTTCATAATACATTTGTATTCTTATAATCCTCTTATCTCAAATCTAATATCCACAGCCAAGTTACAAAAATGACTTACCCAAAGGTGGATAGTTTAAGGAACTCACCTGAAATGAAAAAATAAACATTAAGATACTTCAAATCAATTGTGTATGAAAAAGATTAAACAACAGGAGCTGCGAATTTATAAATAATAGTTTAAAAAAAATAAATAAACATCCTGAATTGAATTATTCTCTTAATAACTTAAATTTTATTATAATTTTATTTTGGGTCATTAATTATGATATCGTCGATGATACAAGAAAAAATCGTAACTCCGTTTCTACGAATTTTAGAGGAAAGAGTAAAAACAAATTGAGTTATGTATTATATTGTTTTAAGAATAATAGCATTATTGTGATAAATGCAATATTATAGTTTAGTTGAGCAGTTTCTGAATGATACTTAAAGAAAGCTGAAATTTTCAAAACAAAAATGGATAATAGGTAAAATTAAGAGTTACGTGTTTTTCCTATTTTAAACGCAATATAAAGTGGAGTTACGTGGTTTTCTTGTGTTAACAACGATATGATCTACTACTGTAATATAAACTCTTTGTAATCAATAATTATTTTCTACTTTTTATTTAGGTTAGTTATAAAAGCGTGCTTTTTAGTTTTTTTAAACTATTATTTATTTTTCATTTTTTTGTTCGATTTATCAATTAGTTTTTTGTGGACATGTGATATTGAAATGTCTTACGAATCATTTCGTGATCTAATCATTGCATTTTTAAGCTTCACTGTTGCATGGGGTTTGCAAGTTCGGCAACCAGCTAAAATGTTTTTATTGTATTGTGAGTACGATCGTGATTTCTTTTATATATTTAAAAAATATAAAAATAAAATACAAAGGCCGCCGATGACAAGCCTTCTTTTTCATATTCCATGTATCACAGAAGTGTGATATTATTATGGCATAGAGTAAAACAACAGGTACAAATATTTTGATGTGATCTGAATATATATCGAGATGCCTTCTTCAGGGTTTGAATATCTGATAAGTTGTCGCATCAACTAGTTTAAATGTGCCACAGTACCAAGGAGTACGTGACAAGCATGCCTAGAGGTTGTCCTTGAATTTCGTAGCTGTTGCAATCCAGAATTAGGTTAAATTCCTGGCACCTGTATCGGAACTCACCCTCAATAGTGGCATGCTGTGATATACAGCACAGGCAGAGAATCATTGAGATCCCGTATTTAATACGTATGATATATATGTATATATATAATATACATATACAGGGTTATCCAAATTAAGTGTCCACCATTAGTAACTTTGTTATTAGTGAAAATACAAAGTTGTTTGAATTAGCAAACTAGTAGCATTTTTAACGCTGGTAAAAATGAGAAATAAAAAAAAACAATTGAGAGTCGTTATTTAATCTGAAACAATTAAATTGTATCGACAAACTTTATTTTCAACATCAACTTATAATCTTACAAAATACAATAACAATTTTTTTTAAAGAAGATGCTCGAAAACACCACCTTGGTCTTCAATACATTTTTGGGCACGTTTTTCAACTGCTGGAACTGTCTTAAGTATGGTCCTACCATCTATCTGGGTTATCTTTTCCCTAACTGCAGTCTTTAGCGCGTCAAGGTTATCGTACCTTCGCTTGTAAATTTGGTTCTTTAAGAAACCCCTCAAGAAGTAATCAAGTGGGTTTAGATCTGGTGATCTGGGAGGCCACTGTATTGGGCCATTTGTTCCTATCCACTGATCATTAAAAGTAGTACTTAGAAAATGATAAGTACCTCTGGAGTTGTGGGCAGGTGCGCCATCTTGCTGAAAATGCAGATGATGTCTACTTATAAGATCCAATTCGTCTAAGAAATTAGTCAGAATTTCTGACATAAATTCCACATATCTTTCACCAGTTAGGGTTCCCTCATAAAAGAACGGGCCAACAATTTTTGAACCAATTATACCGCACCAAACGTTGAAACTGAAACGGACTTGTGGGCCTCTTGGATGTACTAACAAAAGATTTTCTCTTGACCAATAATGGTGGTTTTTTCTATTAAACATTCCAGAATTTGAAAAATTTGATTCATCTGTCCATAAAAGGTAACGAAAGTTATTTACATTTTGGCGACAGAAGCTAAGATACCAATGGCAAAAAACAAGTCTTCTCTCTGGATCCCCTGCCAAAAGCGTTTGAACTGGTCGGTACTTATACGGAATAAATTTGTATTTTTTTAAGATCCTTTGAACAGTACCATAACTGAAATTAGAGTCCTTGAGAATATCTGCTATTGAATTCTCACGATAAGCTTCAAAATATCCAATAACTGCAATTTCCGTGGCCTCGCTTATTATGAATTCTTTTTTTGCCCTTGTTTTAGCAAAAACATTTTCGTTGCCCCTAAATTTTCGATAAAGTCTCAGAAAATATCGTTCATACGGTTGAATGCGAGCGGGATATAATTCACTGTAGTATTCTCTTGCTCTCAAGGAGGATTTTCTGCACACTAAATAGCATTCTAACATATCACACTTTTCTTCATGGGAGAACATTTTTCTTTAAATTAATGACACAATAAAGCTTATAAACAAGTATTTACACTAATGTTTGACATTATTTGATTTTATCATTGTTTTCCAAAGCCTTCTAGTTGCGAGTATGTCCAGTTTAACAATTTGTCGCTTATCTTAATGCTGTCAAATCGCGAACGCCATGTTGTTTTCATAGCCGTCTTAATATTATAATACTGGAAATAATTAAAAATATTTATCGTTATTTTGACTTTATTTTTGACTTTAGCGGAAAAGTCATTATGAACTTTTTTGTTTAAAATTTGATGCTTTAACAGAAAAAAATATAATATACAGGGGTTTCCATTTAAAAAAATGTTATTTTACTGAAAATCAAAATAACGACTCTCAATTGTTTTTTTTTATTTCTCATTTTTACCAGCGTTAAAAATGCTACTAGTTTGCTAATTCAAACAACTTTGTATTTTCACTAATAACAACGTTACTAATGGAGGACACTTAATTTGGATAACCCTGTATATATATATAATATACATATATATACAGGTTGACTTCGAAGTTGAGTCATTTATTTTAACAGTGAGTAGATCTGATCAAATGAAATGTTTTTTCCTTTAACATTTTTGTGGTAAAATTAAAGTAACAAAGTTGTAGCCCTTTAGAAGTTTGAGTACCGCCCTGTCTCAATGATAATATTATGTGCTCGTGTTTGGCAACAACGGATATAATCCGCCTTATCGGTTCATCGCATCGGAAACAAAAAAGCGGAAGAATTTGAAACGCTTATCACGATGTTTTTACTACAATTTTATTCAGTTGTATTCAGTCAATGTGTCAGTCGGTAACGCATGAGTGAATAGTGGTGTTTGTTGCGTGGCTCAAACGAAATTAAAAATGGCACATGTTTACGAAAATGCTGAACTTGTGGACATCATTCTTATTTACGGGGGGAGGGAGTCTTTACAAAATGCTACCGCGGCATCACGGATTTATGCGGATCGGTTTCCCAATCGAGTGCAACCAACCCCTCGTGCCTTTGTTAATGTAGTACAAAGGGCTCGTGAATCAGCTGACTTAAGACCTCACAGGAGAGGGCATGCCGGTGCTCCAAGACCACACGATCAAATACAGGTCCGCACTGAAATACTTGTCGGGAGGATACTTTATAAAACAAGGTAAATTTTGTTTTTATTTTTTTTTTATTTTTACACACATATTTTGGTTTATCTTCCTTCTACAAGCATTATCTGAAAATTAATGACTCAACTTCAAAGTCACCCTGTATATATATATATAGAGAGAGAGAGAGAGAGAAACTTGTATGCGCAAATGAACCATTCAGCAACTCGTTCATATAGTCATTTTTTCTATTCGCTGTAGTTTCCTTAAAATCCCACATTCATCCTAAACGTCTTTTTCTCGTTCAAAAGATAAGTGGAGGATTTTTGAAATGCACTGCAGAACGTCGGTTACTATGAAAGAACTCGGAAATGTCTTGCATACCATTTAAAATCCTTAAAATCATCTTTCCGAAGCAGTAATAAACAAAATAATTTTCTTGATTATAACAATTTATCCAGTTCGGCATGATGATGATTTTGAAATGATGTCTCCTAACTGGCACTATACTGATCGAGAAATATATCTAGATAATCACTTTGAAACGAACTCTTCTTATTTAACAAAATTAGAAATCTAAAGCGCTATGTCACGTAACTCTTTCAAATAATATGATGGATATCATGTGGTAGAATTTTGTAACAAAGTGAAGGATTGATTAGGCTTACATTCTTCCGACGTACAATGAGCACTTTCATTTGAATTTTTCCAAAAGCAAAAGTGCCGAACAGGCATGTTGTACATCGGGTAATTTCACTAGTGTGAAAGTGCTTGTATCAATAAAGGTCAGCAAGGTTGTGGTGTTATATAAAATTCATATTCTGTATATACAATGATTAATATATCATTTTCCTTCAGAATCTTGACGGTCTTGGCATACTTCGGACATGCTGAAAGAATATGCTGGTAGTTATAATAATGAAAGTTCCATCTACATTTTCATTATGTTCAACAGTTTTCTGCAATATGGCTAATTTCACATGGGCGCAGTATCACGAAGCCCCGGTTCAACGAATTTTCGTCATGAAAGTAATAATTATCATCCTACAGTAATTGTGAATTTTGTAATATTTAAGATATAAAGTTGATCTATTGAGGCCTTGGAAAAGGGTCACCAGGTGGATGCAATCTACACAGACTTTTCCAAATACTTCGACAGAGTGAACTTCGACATTCTATTGGCAAAGCTGTCAGCTTATGCTTTTTCAGAAAACACTATAAGATGGTTAGAGAGCTTCCTTAGCGGGGCTAGGTGAAAAGGAAACGAGGGTAGGCTGGCCTTACACGGTCGTCCGCGCTACTTTAAAAGTTGAAAAGATGACTCCGGGTGCGTACCGAGGTAAATTTTTATAATAACAGAGTCGGCTCTCGATTAGCGATCTAGCCTGTAAATCGTTTCCTATTTTGGTACTCAGCAAGTGATCATTTAGTATTTTTCGCCCCTTGTTACTGTTCGTCATATTGTGTTGTTGAGTTGAGCTGTACTCTTGTTGGTGTGAGTGTTCTTGAGTGCCTCTTTTATCAAGGATGATAATGGACAATAAAAGATCATATGTGACCGTTTTAATTACGAATGCAGTGAGTTTAATTCATGATGAGGTCAACAATAGTGTCGAGCAGTTTAACTCTATAATCGCAAAATACATTGGGGAGTAAGCGAATAAATTATTGCAAGAAGAGGTCATACCATGGAAGATGTGCTGCAGCTGTAGTGAGCCACAATACCCAGCGGCCTGCCCATGTGGTCCAAATACATTTGCGTTCTAAGCTTAGTTCAACCTCGGTTATCGCTAAGATGGAACAAAGACTCAAACGCAAGAATCTTGAAAAGAAACTCTGACCAAAAAAAGCTGATACAAAAATAACTAAAAATTCGGATACCAATTCCAAAGGAGTTTTATAGAACATTGCGTAATAGTGATCTACATGGGATTAAGTTCCACCCCACATCCAAATTTCGTGTTACCAATTCAGCTCAGTCTAATATTGACATTTTAACCTGTACTCTCTCAGGCTTTAAAAATTATCTTTCAAATTGTGATTTTTATAATATCTTGTGAGCTTGCATGTTGTAAATGTTGTTCCCATTTCGTGATTCTATTTTGTAAAAATGGGGTCTCCCGTAAATTCGATAAATAAAATAAATAAAACAATAACGCCGAGTAGCAGGACTCTGCACTTTCAACGCAACACGTTCAACAGCTCATAAAGGCTTTTGTTTAGCAGAAATTAGGCCCTCGGAGAAAAAAGTTAGTTACGAACGTGTGTAACAAAGAAACTAAATGAATCAGGTACAAAAACTACAAAGCTTTTTCGTCCTTGGCATAGAATTAACCTTGTAAGAAAATTTCGTCCAAATCGGAATGATACTTTCCAAATTTCAGACGGACCAATGATTAGTGGACAGTCTGACGGACACACAAATATTGAAATTGAAATGAGCTTAAAACCATCTGTACAATCACCTAAACTCATTTGAATCCTATGTATGGGTGCTCCTAGAAGAAATAGTCCAATAGAATTAGATTTTTATGTAGATACCGATAGAATGCAACAACACATGTCAAACTGTCACTGTTAGAGTTTAAATGTTATCCTCATCATATTTGTCGGATGCCTCGCCTCCGTGGCAGAAATAGAGTGACAGGGCGTGGAAAAGTTATAGCGCATTCTTTTGATAAAATGGGTGCAGTTTCCGTGAAACACTCGCCATAGTCCATCCTAAATTTGTCCCAAAAAGAACACAAAAAAGCCATTTCATCTCTCGTGCTGTTTATCTATTAATGAAAAAGTATTTTAATTCTCGTCGTGGTCGAGTTTCGAAGACGATATGGAAAAAACCAAGATAAATCTGGCTGCAAAGGCATGTTTGCATGCAACGCTATGACTGCTGACAATTGACAACACTAGCACGCGGTGTTGCCAAACCGAAAAAGATGAAATCCGCTGGATTCTAAGAGAAAATCGGTGGGAGACATAAATCAGTGCCATCGCAAGATCAGCGGTGGTTCAAGGGCTTTTACGTCACGCAGCGCCGTTTATGAAAAAATGTATATTTTTGATTTACGCGCACACACAGCACATGTTTTTGAGGCCATCTTTTCCCGGAAAATATTGATTTCTTCATTACAACATCTACGATGAGCATACTGGTCGCTATTAAAACTTCTTTGTGATCATCCTGGAAACTCCTGTTTCCATTCTATAAAATTGTGTATATTTTTCTATTTTATTCCTGAACTGGAAGCTTCACCACCTGGCATTAGTATTTAATTAAAAACAGACGATCTTGTGAGTACATAATTATAGGTAACCCAAATCTACATTCCTCGTATGCCCGACTGTCTAATTGTAAGCATATGTATGATTGATAATAGCAAGCTACATATAATCCATTTTTCAGCTTTATTTTTGGTTCCAGCTCTTTTCGGTCAAAAATATGGAAATGCCGGAACTATGTTAAAAAATCGTGAAATGAGTTTTCGGCATTTCGGTAGAAATACAGAAAAATCGGTGGTTCGGCAACACTGCTAGCACGAGCACTTCTAGATCGTGCAATATTGCGTAAAAATAGTTCAAAGTATGCACTAATTAGGATATGAATACATATACCTACCATACGGTCATAAAATATGCACAACAGCAACACAAGTTTCACCAAAAGAAAACGCTATTAACCCTTTAGCAAAGGAGGATCTTGTTACGAAATCTGCCTGTCCTTAAGGGGGAAACGCCGATTGCTGATTTATCCGCTTCCCGTTCCAAATCAACATTTTATGGCGCGTTGATCTATCCGCTTCCCGTTAGAAGTGATTATACGTCTTTGTATTTTTTATTTTATTCTTTAGTGAAACAGCGATAATTTTAAAAAAACTTTTTATTCCTTACAAAGACATGTTCATACAAAAATGTTATTCAAAAATATAAATACATACGAGTATATGTAAATAACAAAAACATAACGTAAGTAACAAAATATGAATATACAAATACAAATGGAACGTTTAAAATTTTAACACAGTGTTGCCCTTGGTCGCCGGGTTGCAGATATTACACATTTTGCCGATGGTAAGGATGTAAAACTTCCCGATTTAAGACTCTCCACGCAAGGCGATGGGAATATGGTAACTGGGCTGCAAACTGCCTAATCCAACACCAAATTAATCACTTCCAGTTCCTCTTGAACAGTATACCGGACACCATGGCATATAACTCAGGGAGTTTTGGCCATTCCATGCCGAATTCCTAGAAATAAACGCGTAAAAACCTTTGGGATAGGTTGGCGCTTGTTAGGAAATCTACGTTGGTATTCAAAAATAGCCGCTAAAGCATTTCCATTACAGGACCCGTACACCAAAATAATATCCGCGTACTCATCATTGCTAAATTCCATTTCACAACACTCAAAAATGGAAAAAAGGAGCAGAAAAAAATAGTAATAGTAACGAAAAGAACCGTATAACACATAACTTTGACAAACTATCTTCCAAGAAACGTCAAGTAGGTATCAAGGGTCCTATTTTATTTTGAAACTAATTGTAACTCGGCTCTTTATGAATGATCTAATTTGTCTTATTTTTATGAAAACAGTGCACTCTAGGAAAAAACACAAGAGTAATTATTTGTAGAAAATTAAAGATCTAATTCGAAAAAAAAACAGAGTACAATTTTTATTTGGAAAAATAATGCCACCAATCCCATGTATCTCCGCCACTGGTGCACGATAATTTTAAGTAAAGACCTTTGAATGTACACAATACTTAGGTAAATCCACATACCAAATTTTAGTTCATTCCAATTGACGGTTTTGAAGATATTAAAAAAAAATTATTTATTTTTAAACTTCAACACACCACATCTTTTTAATCAAGCCCTTAAGAATACATATAAGACCCCCATTAAAATGCGGTCCTGTGTATGATGTTTCATTTTTGGTCACGAGTTGTGAATCACCCTGTATAATTTTTGAACGTAAAATATTGATATTTTGAATAATAGCTCATTCCAAAATTTACATCATGTTTCATTCAAAAATAATCATGTCCATAAAACTTCATCTTTTTCTGATGGAAAATGGAACCGTACATGTAGGAATGACCCTTTACTGACATTTCGGCCACCTCCCGGTACTTTCCAAAGTTCAAATTATTGATTAACTCATTAAGAAAAATAATCAAATATCAGATTAACATTCTTTTTTAATATGTACTTTGAAAAATGCCACTGAGGCGGCAAGCAAATTGATATAAAATATCTGCGTCCTGTATAACAGGGAAATCCGGAAGTTTGACAATATTACTACTATGCCAAAATTCAAATTTTCCACAATTATCTGGCACTTTTCGAGAAATCTTCGGAGTAGATCAACATTGCCATGGTTCGTTTTACGAAAAGAGAAACGTAACACATCTCTAATTTTACATGGAAAGGAACCATTACCTACTTGAATTAATGAATTAATTTACAGTACCCATACTCATCGATGTGTCGAAAGTCTGCGGATAATTAAAAATTAACATAGAAAAGAACTTTGATTCAGTGCACGGTTTGCGATAATTAAACATACGCATTAAATTAATGAGTTGTCAGAAAACAAAGATTAACACGTTGCAGACTGTTTATTTCCGTTGAAACAGTATCGTATGATGTAGCATATAAACTAGTTTATTTGCCTCTTAACCCAAATTCTCGAAGAACGAGGATCTTTTTCATTTTTTTTAATTAGTAAACTGACGAGACGTTGGGCGAGCTTGTATCTCGGTAATAGCGTGTTGGGATGGGCGTTTCTCAATTTATATTGAAATTAACGTGATTTTTAAAATGAAATGCTTCTGTAAATGGCAAATACCCATTTTGTATAGGATCTGAGTTGCCCAACCATTTTGTCGTCTGAGAATAATGATGGTTATATGTGAGAGACCAGCACGTTTATGAACAAAATATCATCACGCATTTTACACCTTCTTGTTACGAGATACTAGGCCCCAGTATATAGTACATTGCCTGTGATAATTTAGGATTTCACCTACTAACATAGTTGCATTGTCCAAAGTGCGACATCGACAATATCCATGATGTATGTAATGAGCTATCATAGTTGCCTTACAAATTTGTTCAATAAAATATATTGTTGTTGAAAGCATTTAATTCTACAATATAAAAATGGTATCAAGTAGGCTGACTATGCACTTTCTAAGCAACGCTGTTCACCAGTTCATAAAGGATAAGTTAGCCAGTCTTAGAAAAAAGTTAACTTCAAACATGTATAACAAAAAAAAATGGAACAAGTCAGTCAAACAGGGTCACATTTGCACATTTTGTGCACAATTTTGAGGTAAT